CTAGTTTGAGTATTGAGTATTAGCATTGGGCAGTCTGGCCCACTTCCTGCTCGATTCTTGGAACCCAGAGACCTGAGGTTCCATGGTAGTCGGCATTACTATAGTTATAAAAGTTACTTTGCTTGATTTACTGTTGACTCTCACATGAATGATAAATATTATGCGCATTACTGGTCTTTTAGTCACTTTCACAAGCATGTCTGAAGAAAATGTGAGAACATTAAGAGAAAAGAAAACATTTAAATGAATGACTCCTATCACTTTCTTATACTGAAGGAACCATCCATCCATCCATTATCTTCACCCGCTTCTTGAAAGAATCATTACTGTTATCCCAGCTCAGAAAACGGCTTTTGTAAATTGATCTCTGCCTTGCTTCTTCTCTAATTCTGTCACAAACGCAACGTCAAAGGCTCAAAACCACTTCAGCTCCAGTACATAGTGTTTTTTTGCTTCAGCTTCACTATATTTACTGTCTGATGAGTTTGCTGCCAAAGCTTCCAGAAAGGAAGTTATAATGACAGGAACGCTGCAGTTCAGAGAGAAAACGCACAAACATACACTATAAGGGGAGTTGAACACGCACATCGACAGATCTGACTTTCAGCGCTTTCTACACTCTATGCAAAGCACGCCACAAAGAGTAAATGATCCGTTTGTTAAGCATTCATACGAAATAATCACAAGTATTTGTCAGTATGGGCCCCTCTCACACACAGAGACAAAACAGAGGAGGGAGAGAATTACAGGAAGCAGCCGGTATACTCCTACAATCACAGATTAAACTGGAGTCTTTCCAGTTTCTCATCTGATTATGGCCAAAGTACAGTCAGCTTTAGGTCAACGTTCATTTCAACCTCTCTTTTTGTTTACATTTGTGGAATCACCCTGAAGGGAGTTCTGCACATACACTTATATTAGCGTTCTATTCAGGAAATGTTCAAGACATTTGAACTTTATGAAGCACTTTGATTTGAAGCCACTGTTTTATATTTTGTTCTTTTTGTTTCTTTCTGCTTCTAGAAGACGATGGTTCCTCTCTTTTTCATCGTCCTGAGCATCTCTTTTCTGCTTAGTTCAGCTTCACAAGTCACTGTTTTATCAGAAGTTTAGCTTCTGTCAAATACAAACAGGCTTTTAGTACATCGTATATTTGCAGAGCACCCACAAACTCACTGCTGTCAAAGTCTAACAGAATTTAGTCTTCTTTTTTCCATTGAACCCCAACTGAAAACTCAAAAGGCTGAAGCAAGAATTCTATACTTTTGTAAAATAAGCTGAGATTTCGTGCACAGTCTGCTGGAACAGAACGGCGTGTAAAGCCACAATGCCTGAGCGAGCGTTTGGGAACCAGAGGGAACGAGGGGGAAGATTATCAGAATCCTGAAGAACCAGCTGCCACTGGAGCTGTGTGGGCAACACTGCATCCTGTCTCCCTTTTCTTTTTATCTCTCTGCCTCTTTCATGGTCACCCTCATTAGGCAGCAGTGATAGCAGACATTTTTATGCCCAGGCACTGCCAGCAGTAGGGAGTCAAACCTTCTGCACATCAGACGTGCTCAACACAAAGCAAAGAAATCTGCTCTCAGCGTGTCCAATGTTAGTCAGTGAGACACGAAGCTGCACATCGAAAAGTGTGAAAAGTGTGAACATATACAAGTTTTAAAAAGTCACTTGTATGTTATAATTCGTTACATAACCAGACTTAAAAACAGAATTAAAAATAAATATTTTAGATGTTTTAAGTAGCTGAAAAACAGCAAGAAATGTAGCTCCAGAGTTGTTAAAGAAATGTAACATGTTCCTATTGAGGCCTGACATTCCTTGAAGGAATGTGTATCACCCATTGCCTTTTCATGAGTTTATATTCAAGATGGCTGCCCAACCACATCTCATGACATGCGTTAATGCTTGAAGTATGAGATGAGAATGACTCTCAGCTACTACCACACCCAATTTTAGCTCAATATCTGTAAATATGACAGTTATAATCCAGTGATTATAATGATTATTTTCTGAATCTTGTTTAAATTAATTTTAGACCAGCACTGCAGACTGGACAAACATTAAAGTACTTGTTGATTTTATAAAAAAAAACAATTTCATTACATAATCTGCCAAAGGATTTAAAACTCAAGGCCAGATGGGCTTTACAATATGAAGAAAGACTAATCGTTTGGTGAAATAAATATATATATATATATATA